GTGGCAATCCAGAAAGTCTTGAACTTGTCGTCGGTACGAAGTTCTTCTATGGCAACAAGCAGATCTTCAACCCGGTCACAACCTGACACTACGTCGAGATCCTCTGATTGTAGTTTGTCTGATACACCTTTGCTGAGGTTAAGTACTTTGTCGAGAACCTGAAAAAGTATCAAATAATAGAAATATAACTCAAAATATATGATACGGAACGTTTTCAACTCAAAACCGAAAACAAAACTTTTCATGGTCGTTTTCCCAATGCGAACCATACGATATAGTGCAATGTACTTAGAAAATGAAGTCCTTTATATACTGTAAGTATACTCACTTTCAATGATAAAACAAATTCAAAATCAATATTACTCAAAAGACCCTTTGCTTCAGCTGCAATCTTCGCCTTCGTCTCAGTTTCGTGGATGATTTTCAACGTTCCTACAATTGCCCCGATGGTCGCATTGAATGTGTTGATCGCATTTGCTCGGCAGGCCCAACGAGTTTCGCACAAGCTCTTCAGTGTACGAACTTGGAAACTCTTCGTAGAACCACTGCTTGCGTGGATCTCTGCTTGCTGCTGGGTGTAAACAGCATGTCGTTTCGTGCATGTTTGAATAAATACGTACAAGTTTTGAAGGGTTCCAAAGAAATCTCTTGCAGTGGTGTTGCTGGTCATGGCATCGACAATGACTAGGTTCAATACGTGTGCATAGCAATGGACGAACAAGGCGGATGGGGAGATTTCTTTTATTCTCGCTTGAAGACCTGTCCGTATGCCCGAAACATTACTTGCTCCATCGTAGCATTGACCTCTAAGACGAGTGACGTCTATGTCGTGGGATTTCAATACAGCGCAGAGTGTTTCAAAGAGCATTTCACTTGTCGTCTGATCTACAATCCTGAGAGCCAACAACTTTTCTTCGACATCTCCTTGATATACATAGCGTACGGTGATGGAAAATTGTTCGTTGTGGCTTGTATCTGGGGTTTCGTCAGCAATAACAGCGAAAAACTCAGCTTCCTTCAGCCGTCGGACAATCTCATCCGTTATGGCCGTCCCAATTACATCAATCATTTCATTTTGGATTTGATGACTTGTGTATTTTGTATTATCTGTTGAGATAACAACATTCAAATCAAACTAAAATAATATGTTATTGATTGCAAACTCCGTGATCCTGAAAGATCATGGTTGGATTTACCAGATTATGTCAATCAGCCTGGTGAAATTAACCGGACCTATCACTGTAGCTCTGTTTAGAAATATTACAACGAACTCTTTAGTAATGTAAGCAGGCCGGAATACTTTTAACTTAGCCTAGCATGACCGCATGACATGTAAACCAGTTAACAGAGAGTTTTTGAATGAAGAATATTTATAAATCAGGAATCAAATAATTAAATCAAAGTTTCTGGCAAAGTTCCACAAAGAGCTGTGGAATGCACAAAACAGCTACACGAATAAAGTACAACATTAAATTAAAGTTATTTGGCCTAAACAATTGTCAGTATAGCCAATTAAATCACAAACCTTTAGCATTCTTTAAATGGAAGTCCATGATAGCATCATGTTTGGAAAAGTGCGCGATTATCTCTATGAAAACGCCTTTGTTCGTGGATGTTTGATTTTCCCGATGACCTCTAAATGGTAAGTTCAGTCTTCCAAGCAGCCTTACAACATCAATTATTCTCCCGATCACTGTACGTTTTCGTTTCACCTTAAAAGGACATTAATTTGGAATAATCATGCAATATATCAAACTATACGTATGCGTGCATTTTCATCTATAAAAGTGCTAAAATGTCGCTTATGATTGAAAAAATGCCATTACATACATTACCTCTATCTCTTTCTCACTCGCCCGGATTTTAGCATGTTCGTCTAATTGTTGGTCGATCGGCTTCTGCTTCAGCCAGATTGAATATCCCTCGGAGGCAAGTCTGTGACCATCGCTGTTCTGGTGCGTCGTAAAGGTTTTCGGTTTCTTCCAATTTGAAAATCCGTCGGTAATGAACGCCTTCTCGGACCTACTGCACATCTACAACAAGGGAATTTGATTTGACTGTGCACTGATGAATTTAAGATATTAAAGTTATATCATACTATAATTTATATAAAAATTACGAAAATTTTAAAAGGAGACGTGCAAAATATAAGCTGTTACAGTCCACATCGGTCCAGTTTGACCAGTTACCGTTGGTATAAAAGATCTCACCTGGCGATTAAACGTGCGACAAAAGAAACAAAATGCTCTGTCTGTCTTCTTAGAGTATTCAAGCCACTTGAAATTTTCATACCAAGCTGTAAGGAATCTCCTACCATTGCTATTTCTTGGGAATGTAAAATCTTTTGGTTGACAAGGACCCTTTGATATAACATAATTTCTCGCATCTCGATTGGAAGGTATCGGGGACGAAGGATCGTAGTCATAAGTGCTAAGATCGAATGACTGTGACTGGGCCATTCTGAACATTAACTGAATAAACTGTAGTGCCACTCACGCGATTTTGTTTAAGCGCAAAATATGCTAATGGCCTAATGCACGTATTGGACTTATGAATGTTGGGTTGGAACATTGATAAAAATTTATTTTTAGATAAATAATCATATTATTGCCTCGCCTAGATTTAATCTAACGTAATGGCAACGCATTTGAATTTCCTGTTTTGCGCGTTGACATTTTCACTAATAGTTTAACGCCTATACATATTTTAAATTAAGCATACTGAAAACCCCTTATTATATTCAGTCTTCGCTTCGTAGCATCTATTCTTTAATAATATTTTATGGTTGATTTGAAGTTTTCAATTATATATTATATATTAAATATAAATATTAATATTTACTATCTCGAGTATTTTCTCGGCATACGATCTTGCACATCGAATTCGACGAAATGATAACGTATACTTGCGTTAATAGATAGCGTGCGTGAATCTTAAGTGCGGATACGAAATTCAATGGAGGTCAATATGCTGATTGACGTGTCAAGCACTGTAAGCACATGGTCGACGTAATATTTCATACGTCATTGGCGAATAAGTTTTACACTTCTTATGACACTCGCTCGTGATATTTTAATTGTGTTGAGCATAAGTAAAAGGCAACTAGTCAGAGCCTTTAATTAAGTTTAGTAGATACCGCAAGTTACGCATTAGCCATTGCACGCAACCGTACACTTGACAACCAAATATTTACACACCGCACCCCCCCCCCCCTACGACATCGGATTTGGACAAATCCAAAAACCCACTCTGGAGAATATTGGGGGGGCGGCTGCCCCCCCTCGCCCCCCCTTGCCGGCGCCACTGGCGGTAGGACATTCTCATCCGATCTTTATCTGATATACAAACTTTCACCTTCGGCTCGAGTTTGTGTATTAGATACAGATCGGCTGCTCATGTTTTAAATAGTGTACTTAAAACACAAGACAGAGTTTAATATTTTCATTTTCCATTTAGGTCTTCTCTGCCAACATTGACCAAAATTGCACTGTCAGACATGATCTTCAACGTCTATTCGTTGCTCGCTACATTTAAGTCAAACCAAAATCCTGGAACAGTGGCTGTGGTATGAGGGTTGAATTCTATGGACGGTTTGAAGGTTAGTAAATGGTTAACGTTGCTATACTTTTTAGAAAAAACGCTTTCTAATTATGATTTTAATTGTAGACCAGGACAATTCGACCTATCTTGGAATGGAAAGTGGCCTAATACTGGATGGCCAAATTACAGCATCGTCTCAGTATGATTGGCCATATCGTGCAGCCGCAGGCCGGTTAAATTTTGACCCCATTTCTGAAAGTGCTTGGAATGGCTGGCGTCCACTTGATGCTGATATGAATCCATGGTTCCAGGTTGATTTTGAAACATTTGCAACGGTGACGTCCATACGTACGCAAGGACTGTCTGGCTCTGACTACTGGGTAAAAACGTTTATTGTGTCGTTTGGCAACGATGGGACAAACTTTCAAGATTACATCGAATTTGGAATGCCTAAGGTAAGCAGCAGACCTACCAACTGTTAAGCATAAACCACATCGATTGTATGCATATTTGGAGGCAGTTGCATGGTATTCGTGGTCCAGGCTTGCTGACATCTGCGAGCTTCATATATAACTGGAGTGAGAGCACGAGTCAAAAAAGTAAAGCAAAGATGGTCCTATTAGACGTCAGTGTGAGTCCCTTTCTATTGCATGTTGTTGTCTGCGCGGTCGGACACGAAACTGCAAGGGGAAAACTAAAATTACATGTTTTGACATTGTTTTAAAGAGTGATACTGTGACTTTATGAACTGATAATTTCATTAGCGATACAAGCCGTTAGCAAAAGCTGGCATTAGCCAATGTAAAAATGGTATTTAAACTGTTTATGACCATCATCATAGCTATTGGACCATCTTGGATTCAATTGTCTCATAGGCCGAATGATTCCGGACATATATGGAGCTCACTGGTTGACATAACTTTAAATGTTTCTATCAGGTTATTTTAAATGACTTTTAAAAACTGCTTTAAAGATTTTTCTTTAGCCTCACCTTGCGTTTGAGATATTTTTCAGATTTTACATACGTTTGCAGAATTGTCCAGAATTACGTAATAGGCGCATAATGACTGAAAAAAAACGTTTGTGCATCTTATTCATTCTCAAAGTGTAGGTCTTAAGAATTGAGAACTTTGAAGTGTGATTCGTATACGATTCTAACGATTCGTAAGTGAGTCGTATACGATTCTTATCCTGGCGTATGTACTGGAATAAATAGTTGTAAAAATGTCACATTTTAAAATTATCCATAAACAGATAAACAGGAATAGTGGTGTCAGCAGTCGTTTTCATACGCCAAATCATGGGCGTACCGGAAGGAAAAATTTAGGGGGGCGGAAAGAAAATTGCCCGACTTTTCGGAATTGTGCCCGACTAGTACCGAAAAATTTTTTCCGGAAAAATTATGACAGTGAAGAATATATTTACCCCCCCCCCGTCGCCATTTTAGGGGTCAAAAAAATTTTCCGGACAACCAAAATTTTTCGGAACATAAGACAAATTTTCCAAAAAACCAAAAATTGACCACCAAATTTACTTAATTTTAGACAAAATTTACAGAATTTGTCACATTTTTTTTTATTGCAAACCAAAATTGCCCGACTGTTGATCGAATATTGCCCGACTGCCCAACAAACT